ACACCATCTCCCACCTCATCCTGGATGGCAAACACAAGCGGGCTGAGCAGCTGTACCGGGAGTTCAAGATCCCTGACAAGAGGTGAGTGGGGACAGCCGCAGTGCCAGCTGTTTGCACGCGTGTGTGCACATGCATGCACTCACTGCCGGGCTTCTGCATCCCTGCATGCCTTGGTAGGCCAGGCGCACACCAGCAATGGGGAGGTTGCCCGACACTGCCCTCTGAAGCTGGGGGTCCCTGGTGCTTGGCACAGCAGGGGGAAGGTGGGGTATGACTGGCGGGAGCCAGGTCAGGGGCTGCTTTCACCCCAGCTCGCCGAGCCCCGGTGAAACCCCTCTGTCCGTGCTGCCCAGGTTCTGGTGGCTGAAGATAAGCAGCTTGGCTGAGTGCGGCGACTGGGAGGAGATGGAGAAGTTCTCCAAGAGCAAGAAGTCACCCATCGGGTACCTGGTAAGAGATGTCTCCCCACTGTGGGCACCCCATGTGTCCTACAGACACCAACTGAAGGCAGGCTTGCCTGGGATGCGCACCCCCCACAGCGTGGCTCTAGGAAGGGGGTTGGGGAGCCTGAGCGGCAGGTCTCTGCTGCACGGAGCAGGAGGCTGTACAGCTCTTAGCAGCAGCCCCTGCGTCTTCTGATGGGGCCCCGCTGCCGGCTGGGAGACCCCCTCAGGGGCCCTGGTGCCCCTGGCCCTCAGGAGTGGTTTTCCAGCCCTGGCAAGAGGATGTTCACGTTACTGCCCCGAGGGCATTAGCAAAATGGGGCAGGAACAGGATGGGGCCAGGAGAGGTTGCAGGGAGTTAGGTGAATGGGGTTGGGATAGGAGGAGAGGGGGTGAGAGGTACCTGGGGAACCGGCCCCGCAGCTGATCTGCCCCCCACTCCCTACAGCCCTTCGTGGAGATCTGCGTGAAGTACCACAACCGCCACGAGGCCAAGAAGTACGCGGCCCGTGTCACGCCCGAGCAGAGGGTCAAGGCCTTCATCCTGGTGGGGTACGTCCCCTGTGGGGCAGGACGCTGCTCCCTGGGGGGGGCAGCAGCCTCAGGGTTTGGGGTGCAGGGCATAGACCCAAAGCTGTCCCAGGGCCCCAGACCTCACCCCCTTCTCAAGGCTGCGGTCTACTCGGGGGCAACTGCTTTCAGAACCTGGGTCTGGGCCTGCTGGAGCAAACGCAGGATGGGATGAGGGGGAGCCCGTTGCCTGGGGGAGGGGAGTGGCCCTGTCTGACCCCTGCCCTGTGGTGCAGAGACCTGGACCAAGCCGCTGACGCCGCCATCGAGCACAAGAGCGAGAGCGAGATGAGCCTGGTGCTGGCCAAGTGCTCCCCTGCCATTGACGCCACTGTCGTGGAGAAGCTCAATCGCGCCCGGGCCCAAATCCTCAAGAAATAGCTCCCGCCCCGGCCATCCCTGCACCCCGGGTGCTGGCCAGGCGCGGTGCTGTGCTCTGGACATTGTGTCCCAGGCCGGCACCATGGGGGCAAGGATTGTGGCTTCTCGGCCCTGCGCGGTGAACTTTGGCTGGAGGAGCCGCTGAACCCGTGCCAAGGGGGTCTCCCCGTGCTGCTGTTGGGTGCAGGAACTGGACATGGGCGCCTGCGGCCTGTCCTGCTCCCCCAGGCTGTTGCTCCAGCCCAAACCCCTGTCCAGCTGGCTCCTTCCGCACCAGCCGCGCTGCCCCTGCCCTCCTTGCTGCTGGCTGAGCACAAGGGCAGGGGTGGAAGTCGCGTCCTCCCGGGTTCCCATTGCAAGAGGCTGGGTGGCATTGCTGTGGGGGCTGCGGTTTGGCCCTGGTGGGGGAGAGGGGTACGGGGGGCTCATTTGTGTGCAGGGGGGTGCGTGGAGCCCAGTGCCAGGCTGGGGACACCTACATGAGGGTTCGTGGAGGCTGGGCACGTAGCTACCTCGCCTGTCCCTTCACTGTGGGAAATAAAACCCTGGCTGCCCCTCTGCATCTGGCTGGAGTGTCTGCGTGGGCGAGAAGCCGGCCGGCGCGTTTCCAGGTAGCACCATGCAAAGGGAGGTGCTGGGTGATCGGGGCGGGGGGCAGACACGGGGGAGGTAGTAGGTACTTGGGGGGGTTGAGACCCTCCGGTGGGCAGCGAGGCACCCCGCTCTCCCCTTCCCACAGGAAGAGCAAGGCTGTAGTGGTCGCGGCCCGCGGCAGGGACCCAGCGGCTTATAAAAGAGATCAAAGGCATGTATTACAGGCGAGAACAAGGCCAGGAAACCTGCCCCCGGGGGCGACAGGCGCAGGCGGGCGAGGACGAGGCCTCCAGCGCCGCCTGTGCCCGGGGGAGCGGAGGGCCGAGCTGCGCGTGGTGGGGAGCCGCGAGGGATGTGCTGTTCGCGGCGCCTCGTCTGCCAGCGCGGGCCCGCGGCGCGAAACCCGCAGTAGTAAGTTAAACGTTACCACGAGGAGGTGTTTAGACCCGGGTAGACCGAGCCTTGGCTGGGATGATGGAGTCGGGGCTGCACTCGGGGGGACCGCCGGGCG